AAGGCCAAGGTCATTCTATGTATCCATTCATCCATCAATTCATTCAGTCCTTCAACAGCTGTTTACTGAATGCCGACTAAGTGGCAGGCCCTTCACTGGACACTGTGGGGACAGCAGTGAACACAGCCGAGTCCCCCACCGTGGAGGCTCACAGTCAGACTAGGGGGACACACAGGAAGCACACTAGCAGATGTGGGGGAAGGACTGGGAAAGAGGAGTGAGGCAGGGTGAGGGGACAGAGGGCTGCAAAGTCTGTGTCTGTAGAATAGCCGGGGAGTCCTCTCTGGGGTGCTGGCATTTGCCTGGATCTCAAGAGACAGGAAGACGCGAGTCCTGCGCATATGGGGGGACAGTGTCTGGTCAGAGAATGGGGTAAGAGCAGCGGCCCCAGGGTGGGAGCAGGGGATGTTGCAGGGACAGATGCAGAGAGCCAGGACAGAGAGAGGCAAAGGGGGTGGGGCTGGGATCACCAGACCTTTCTCTAGGGCCAGAGATGGTGGCAGAGGGAGAGGCCTTCACACCTGAGAGGAGGGAAGGAGGCAGGAGAGGGGGAGAGGACATGGGAACAGGGCCACTTGCACAGGGTCAGGAGCCAACATATGGTCCAGTGTCAGCCGGGATCCCCACCAAGGGTAACCCACAGAGACGACGAGGTCTTCAGCGCCTCCCCACCTACAGCCTTGTCATACACACAAAAAGCCCACATACCCACACATATGCATGAACAAGCAAACATGCATACAGGACAGCTCGGGCTCACCTCATGTGCAAGCAAGTAGGACTGCGCCTGAACACGCATGCAGACTCCTCATGTAGATGCAGACATTCCTGACAAATCCGAGAATGGTGGGATATCAGGGCAGAAGGACTTTAGGCCACCTCTCACGTATGACAGAGGAACAGAGGAATAGAGGAACTGAGGCCTAGACAAGGAAGTCTCATAACTGAGTGGTCTAGGCAGGTCTTGGTATATCCCCCATGCGTGCAAACACATACACTCATGCACACGCGTGTGCACTCCCACGCACCTGCGGGAGCACCTTCCTTAACCTAGCCCCGCCTTCTCAGGGGCCCAGGCCAGCCTCCACCTCTTCCAGGATGCCCACTAGTTTAGCCAGATCCCGCCAGGGTAAGCTGAGTTCCTCCCAATTATTCCAGCAGACTGGTGAGGGCGTGCGGGGTTGGGGACCAAGACAGACTCCCGTTCCCTTCCTCTGGGAGCCCGTTCAGGGTCCCTCAGGGCTTCCTTCTCCCTCTCTCCTTCTCGGCCCATACCCTCTCTCCATCTCCAGGTGTCACTCTAGCAGTCTGGGGTTCTCTGTTTCTCCCTCTTTCTTGGGGTGTCTACACCATTTTTCTGTCCATTTCTCTCCAGTTCTCCCTCTCTCTCTCTCTCTCTGTCTCTCTCTGTCTCTCTCTGTCTCTCTCTCTCTCTCTCTCTCTCTCTCTCTCTCTCTCTCTCTCTCTCACACGTACGCTCTCTGCCAGGCTCTGTCTCTCTCACTCCATTTTCTCATCCGGATCTTTTTTTCCTGGCCTTCCAGGAAAAGCTGACATGGCGACCCGTGGCGACCCTGGTCTGTGGATGTGAAGCTTTCTGGGGCAAAGGAGTTTGCAGCTGGGGTGGGGATGCCGCCCTGGCTAGAGGGGAGGGAGGAGGCAGCACATGGGAGGGGAGAGGGCTAGGCCTCTGCAGGGCAGGAAAGGGAGAGGGGAGAAGAAAAACTGGGAGGATGTGGGCCCCACCTCCCCACTAGGGTGTCCAGCTCTACCAGTTTGCAGGGTCTGTCTAGATTTTAGCACTGAAAGTCCCATTTCCCAGAAAACCCATCAGACCGAGGCTCGCCTGGACAGTTGGTTGGTTACTCTACAAGCTGCCCAAGACCCACAGGAGACAGAGCCAGGGCTGGCAGGAGGGGCTCCCAAACCTGGCCCCCTTGGGGACGGTCAAGTCCTCACATACTCACCAAGGGTCCCCATCTCCAGGCCTGAGACCAGCTCGGAGGAGGCCAGAGAGAGAAAGGAAGGTAGGAAGCTCCCAGGCTGGGAAGAGGGGCCGGACTTCTGGCTTGTTCCCTGGCCCACTGGCATTCTTTCCCGTGGGGTGGGCTTTGCAGAAGAGCTTCAGTTGATACCGACAAGCAGAGGGCAGAGGGGCTGTCCAGGAGGTAGGAAGCCCCCGCTATTGGGGGTATGCACAGCTGCTCTCCCAGGGGTGGGCCTGCCTGACCCCCTGTGAGACACCATGGAGGCTCTGAGAGTCCTTAGCTGAGGTCAGACTGATGGTACAGACTCCAGTGACAGACAGAGGATGGCACACAGAAATACGCTCTCCACTGGGCTCCTGTGGCCCTATTGTCCTTCCTGGTGGAGGCGGGAATGGTACCCCTCGGAGGCAGAGGCAGAACCTGGACAGACAGGGAAGAGCAGTCAGTGCCTGACACAGATGGTCCCATTTCTGCCCGAGTGGGCTGGTCCCTGTTGCCTCTCCTGCCCTTGGCCTACGTGTCTGCTCCCAAGTAGGAGTCTGAGCCTAGGGTTTGGGTATCATTAAGGTCTGCCTTGATGGGGAAGGAGGGTGCAAAGGCCCCCCTACCCCCAGAAAGGCCGATGACACACCCACGGACAGAGGGTGGGTCTCCTTTATTGTATGGGGTATTCTCTAGAGTGTCTTCGTCACAGGGAACTGCATGGTCTCAGGCATGTCCCAAGTCCCCATCTGCGCACTAAGGGGGTGGAGGTGGTGACCTCTGGAGTGCTTTCGTTTCTGGCATCTGATAGCTACCCGATGTGTCCATCACTCATTCAAGTGATATTCACTGAGTTGCTTCTCTGAACTGGCATCAACAAAAGCCTGGGGGCATGGCGTCTGCCCTCTGGGCTTCCTCTCTAGAAGGGGGTCAAGCACCCAATACACATGGACACAAAATTACAGATTACAGGAAGAGCAATAAGGAAGCATCAGGGACTCTGTAAGAGCAAGGAAACTGAGGGCTAAGGGGTTGGTTGTCCTTGGACCCTGGTGCGCTTTGGAGCAGGGAGGCGGGATGGGGACTGTGAGCTCCTCAAAGCACCCTGGAGGCAGGGCTGGTGGCACAGTCTTTGTGCAGGTGAGGGTGTGTGCATGGGCTGTGCAGAAACACAAGGAAATCCCCTCCACTAGGAAACCCTCCCTGACTGACACTGAGGTCACTGATACTCCCTTCTGGTTTAGGAAACCCTGGATATGTATGCCTCCAGCCTCTGGTTGACCCACCAAATTAAGGACTTTCCCAGAATTCTCCAGAGATGCAAGAGAGGGTTTCCCCTGCAGTGGAGGTCTCTACATTAGTCTGTAACAATATCTTCAGCCTCAGAACAAGTCATGCTGTGGACTTGGGTGGCCTGCGCTTGGCAGAGGGTGTGATGAGCTGGAATTGGCTTTCTGGGGATGCTTTCAGCCAAGGGTGATGCCTGCCTGTCCCTGGCCGTCCAAGAGGGTGAGTGAGTCATGTGTAGAATTTCGCCGGTTAACCGATGGAGGGAAAGGAGGCCTGGGTGAGGGGGAAATCTGAGGAGCCTCATTCTGCAGAGGGAGGGCACAATTATTCCATCCACAAAGTCCTTTCCTAGGGCCCCTTCATCTTCCAGTTTCTCTTCCAGCTCCCTTGTTTCAGGCCTTTTTTGTCTCCTCCTGACTCCCTTGGGTCTGCCTGCTTGAGGGAAAAGTGTCAGATATCCTTTCCCTGAGGGCATAGGCCCTTTCCACACAGAGTTGGAACAGTGGAGCCCAGAGAGGGAGATGCTGACTGTGTCAGTGCCTGGCACTGTGGGAAGCCATAGAGAGAACCCCAGGAGTACCACCCTTCACACTCCCCTCTATGCCAGGTGGGCAGTTGGGGGGAGCTTTCCCTTGAGGTGGGGGTCTCGGGATCCCAACCAGGGCACAGAAGCCCAGTAGTCCCACCCTGAGTTCCCTGGCTGGTTCTGGGCCAGGTCTCCCCACCCCTCCCTGTCCGGTGGGGAATACGGCCGGTGGCTGGGCCTGGAGCTCCCTGGACAGCAACATGAAGCCCAGCCTCAGAGCCGGCAGGGACTTGTTTCCCGAAAAAAGCAAGCCAAGCAGTCTGGCTTCTCAAAGGAGGGATGGAGCCTCCTTCCTGCACTTTGACCTTCTAGAAAGATTGAAAGAGACGTTCACACACACACAGGCGCACACTCACTCCCACACACAAACTCACACACACCAAGACAGGCACAGTGTGTCACACCCACACTAACACATGCAAAGGCATATATTAACAAATACAGAGACGCACACTCACTCACACACACCAAGATAGGCACAGGGCGTCACACCCACACAAACACACACAAAGATACACATTCACACACACAGACGCACACTCGTTCACACACACAAACTCACAGCCACACAAACACACACAAAGACGTACATTCTCGTACACACACATCCACACACAAACATACTCAAACATTCTCAAACACACACAAATTTACATATACTGTCTACACATACATGCACACAAACACATATACAAACTCATCCACACACAGAAACACGCTCTCACATCTGCACACTCGAACATGCACACCCATGCACACACACAAACACCTCTACATTCCCGGCGTGGAAAGAGAAGCCCCCTTTTTTTCCTGTGCGAAGGAAGCTAGAAGTCTCCCGCCTTCCAGAGATTCCATTTCCCACCCTTCCCCCATAAGAACCCTCCTCCCCATCTTTTCTTGGGCCCCGTCCAGACAGTGCTGTGTCTTTAAGGGAGTTGAAGCTGCTAAAAGTGAGTGAGAGAGAGAAAGAAAACACAACCCAAAAAATTTTGGCATCCTCTCCCCTCAAGTTTCTGGTGTCACTTATGAAACACGGGTCCTGGTTGCTGCGGAGAAGCCGTTGTTCTTCTGGAAGGAGGGAGCCTGACAGTGGTCCCGGGCTCCTCCAGCCACCTCCCCTCAGCAGCCGGTCCTGGGCACCCTGTCCGTGGCAGGGTGGGCACCAGCCAGCAAATCGAAGGGGGCGACCCAAGCTGCCCCTTCCACCAGCATCCGAGTCCTCCCTCGGGTGCCCTTGGCCTGGCAAACTCTCGGGCTAACTCTGTTGCTTTCTGGTTCTTTCTTAGAAGAGGCCCTGCTGGACGAAGGCGGAGGAGTTTGACGGTGAGTCAGTGGGAGGAGGGTTCCGAGGGCCGAGGGTCGAGGAGGCCTGCTGGACGCAGCCTGTGCTCCCCCTCAGCGCGTCCCTGTGAGTTTGAGGTGCTGGGACAGTCCCTGATGGCAGCCGTCCGGGGGCATCTGTGTCTTAGAAAATGAGGCCCAGGAAGACCCAGCTGCGTTGGTGCCGCGCCCCAGTCAGCAGAGAGGTCCTGGAGGGGTTTATTTAGGCAGCTGCCTGGCGGAGTTGGAGCAGAACAGGCCACGGGTGTAACTCTGCAGAAAGGGCCTGGTGTCTGCTGTGGTCACAGCCGGAGGGGTGGGAGGGGACGGGTGGGCACAAGGGGCCTTGTCTGCCTGGGCAAAGCAAAGCATACCTATGGGGGGCTCCCGGGGGAAGGGCTGCAGCCAGGATGTGGGAGGGCAGGGGGAGGTTCTGGAAGAGGTGGGGGAGGGGGCGGCTGGAACACAGATTTTGAGTCAAGTCATAAAGCTGGCTGGGAGCGGATGAGGAGGGAGCTTGCTCTGCTCAGAAGAGGAGCAGGGGTCCCCTTCCAACCTGTCTTCGCCCTGCTGGCTGCATGACCTCGGGCAAGTCCTGGCCCTTCTCCGGGCCTCAGTTTCCCCTTCTGTTGCATGGGGGTGGCAGGACAGGTGGCATCGGGCCTCGGCTGGGTTGCATGGGGCAAGGCCTCATGATGAGGAGGCACTCTGACTGGGGTGGAAGGGATGAGTCCCCTTGGCAGGTCCTGGGGACTGCTGGGGTGACACGCCCTTCTCTGCAGGAGGCACAATGCGGGGGCTGCATCTGCTCTGCTGGGTGGCTCTCCTGGGCCTGGTGCAGGCCTGCCCAGAGCCCTGTGACTGTGGTGAGAAGTACAGCTTCCAGATCGCCGACTGTGCCTACCGCGACCTGGTGGCCGTGCCTCCCGGCTTTCCAGCCAATGTGACCACGCTGAGCCTCTCGGCCAACCGGCTGCCCGGCCTGCCCGGGGGCGCCTTCAGGGAGGTGCCCCTGCTGCAGTCGCTGTGGCTGGCGCACAACGAGATCCGTACAGTGGCTGCGGGCGCCCTGGCCCCCCTAGGTCACCTCAAGAGTCTGGACCTCAGCCACAATGTCATCTCCGACTTTGCCTGGAGCGACCTGCACAACCTCAGCGCCCTCCAGCTGCTCAAGATGGACAGCAATGAGCTGAGCTTCGTGCCCCGCGACGCCTTCCACAGCCTGCACGCCCTGCGCTCCCTGCAGCTCAACCACAACCGCCTGCACGCGCTGGCCGAGGGCACCTTTGCCCCACTCACCGCGCTGTCTCACCTACAGATCAATGACAACCCCTTCGACTGCACCTGCGGCATCGTGTGGCTCAAGACGTGGGCCCTGGCCACGGCTGTGTCCATCCCGGAGCAGGATAACATCGCATGCACGTCGCCACATGTGCTCAAGGGCACACCACTGAGCCGCCTGCCCCCACTGCCCTGTTCGGCGCCCTCGGTGCAGCTCAGCTACCAGCCCAGCCAGGACGGTGCCGAGCTACGGCCTGGCTTTGTGCTGGCGCTGCACTGCGATGTGGATGGTCAGCCAGCCCCCAGGCTGCACTGGCACATCCAGACTCCCGGTGGCACCGTGGAGATCGCCAGCCCCAACGTGGGCACGGATGGGCGGGCCCTGCCCAGTGCTCCTGCGGCCGGCGTTCGGCCGCGCTTCCAGGCCTTTGCCAATGGCAGCCTGCTCATCCCCGACTTTGGCAAGCTGGAGGAAGGCACCTACAGCTGCCTGGCCACCAATGAGCTGGGCAGTGCTGAGAGCTCGGTGGACGTGGCTCTGGCCACCCCTGGCGAGGGCGGGGAGGACACACTCGGCCGTAGGTTCCACGGGAAAGTGGTGGAGGGCAAGGGCTGCTACACCGTTGACAACGAAGTGCAGCCATCGGGGCCTGAGGACAACGTGGTCATCATCTACCTCAGCCGTGCCGGGAGCCCCGAGGCCACAGTTGCAGGGGAAGGGGTTGGTGGGCAGCGGCCGCCAGGCCTGCTTCTACTGGGCCAGTGCCTCCTCCTCTCCCTTTTCCTTGCCCCCTTCTAGCCCCACCCTGACCCCAGCAGGGCTGGAGCAGCCCCCAGCTTCCCCAAGCCTCCCCGACCCTGCCAATGCCTCTCGTACACATTGCAGGGGCCTGGGGTCTGCAGCTCGTGGGGCCCACGTGGCAGCTTCATGTTCTCCTACCTCCCTTCTGATCTCTTCTAGAATCCCTGCCTCCCCCAACTTCTAGACCTGCTCTGAGCTGGCAGCTAGGATCGACTTGGACCCCTAATTCAGAGTCTGGGTACAAATTGCTGCTAACAGCGCAGCTCAGGTCCCAGGCAGGGTGGCATGCTCACAGCGGGGCAGCCCCAGGCATGTAACCGACAAGCTGGCAAGGGCGAAGCACAGGAGAAGGCTGGGGCTTGACCTGGAGGTGGCCTGGAGCAGCAGCAGGGCAAGGGAGAGGAGATGGGACAGCAGGCAGCGACTGGTATGGCCCCAGGCTCTCCGGGACCTGTCCCTTTGGTGTTCCCTGATGACCTGGGGCTGGGAAGTCCCACTGTCCTCATCTCAGACTGGACTGGAGGACCCAGGACAGGCCGTCTCCCCTACTGCACCTCTGCTTCCCACACCTCTCACCCTCATTCCCTCCATCCTGGACACCGCCCTTCCTTTCTCTCCAAGTATGTGCCTGCAGCCTGTCTCTCCAAAGAGGCCACAAGCCTGGGTGGCAGAGAAATAAACAGCATTTCTGATGCTCTCTGGTGTCTGCCTGGAGTTTTGTTCAATGTTGTCTGGATCTAGGAGGCCCTGTGGGGTTGACAGGATCAGGAACCGCAGTCAGGGCACCCAGCCGGCCTCCTCATGCAACAGGAGCCCATGAGCCCTCTGCAGACAGTGGCAGCATGGGCAGCGTGGTCCAGTGGTGGCGGTGGGCTAGGACTGGGCCTCACGGTGAACTCAGCTGCAGATACCACTTCCCACCCCAACCCACAGGTCAAGATGAGGCAGGAGCCTCACAACCATCCCAAAGGCTGCTCTGGGGTCGCTGGCTGCCCTGAGCAGGGATATATGTCAGCAGCCGCTTTGAGAGGCATCTTGGAAAGGGACAGGGATATGGATGTGCCTGGGTTGTAGCTCGGCTCCCCTGTCCTGCTCCTGGAAGAGATGTTAGGCCTGGAGAGGAAAAGGGTGGGATGGAGGAGATGGGAGGAGGGAGGATGCCCAGAGAGAGCAAGGACAGGAAACAGATCTGGGGAGAAGCCCGGGAAGGAATTGCATCACCGCCACCCCTCTGGAGGAAGAAATGGTGTTTCATAGTGAGATTCCTGCAGGAGCCTCCCCAGGGAGCAGGTGGGCTGGCAACTCACCTGGGGGGCCCCAACCTTCCGGGCTCAGAACAGGGAACGAGTGGGTGGGGCCCAGACCCCAACACTCCAGAACCCCATGTCTGTGCTGGGTCAGAGATGCATCTCCCCGCTGCCTTGGTTCCGTCACTTTCAAGACGGAGGGCGCTGCCCACAGGGACATTGGCCTGCTGGGAGCGGCTCTGCGGCCTATGTCCTGAGCCCCCAGAACTGCTGAGCTCAGCAAAGTGGAGGCAGGAGGCCAAGGAGTCTGGGGCAGCAGCTGCAAGCCCTGGCGGCTGGCCAGCCTCCTCCCCCTCCTCCGGGTCCACATACAGCACCTCCCACTTCCCCTCACCCCTGTTCACTTGCAGCTCTGCTCTGGCGGAGCTGATGTCACCAGCAGTGAGTATGAAGAACTCCAGCAGGGAACAACTCCAGCAGGGCGTGGGGGCTCGTGCCTAAAATCCTAGCACTTTAGGAGGTGAAGCAAGAGGATTGCTTGAGTCTAGGAGTTTGAGACCAGCCTAGGTAACATAGTAAGATCTTGTCTCTCAAAAAAAAAAATTAGCTGGATGTGATGGCACTTGAGCCTGTAGTCCCAGCTACTCGAGAGGCTGAGATGGGAGGATCAGGTGAGCCCAGGAAATTCAGGCTGTGGTGAACAGTGATTATGCCATTGCACTCCAAACTGGGAGAGGAGACCCCAACTCAAAAAAAAAATGACCTCACATTTGGTAGAAAGCAGCAAGACAGACAAATCCCACATGCTGGGCCACCGGGGTAAATCACTGCCCATATCTGAGCTTTTGTCACCTCAGAAATCAAATGACATGTCAGGGTCCAGGGGCCTCTGAGGTTTGATCATCCCAGCCTGACTTGGACCCCGACGCCCCGACCCATCTGCAGTTTTGCAGGTGTGGCTTCCTGGAGGAAGACCTGGACCCAGGTTGGGACAGCAAAGGAAACAGTTATGCCTTGAGTGGACCAGTCACTCCCCTGCTGCAAAGTCTGATGCTGCCCTCCAGGCAAAGTCTGAAATCCCCCATGGCCCTTCTGATCAACTCCTCTGATGTGGCCACCCCATGGCCTCTGTCCTTCTTGGGACTGCTAATTCCTCGTGCCTGTCACACTCCATGATGTATCACTCTGCACCTTTTCTTATGCTGTTCCCTCGTCCTGGGCACCCTTTCCCTGATTCTTATTTGACTGAGGGAGTCTTTGAGACTTGACCTCCTCCAGACATCACCTCCTCCAGAAAGTCTTTCTGGGTGTTCCCTTATCCCCAGTGTGGACAGGACCCCTTCTCTGGCACACACAGCCCTAGTGTCCAGTGGCCCAGACTGAACACACTCTGTTGTGACTGTTTCCTTGTCAAGGGCAGAGATGGAATCTGGGTTCTCCTCCCTGTGACCCTGTCGGTCACTGACACAGGACCAGCAAGATGGTGGTTCGGTGGGCTACAGTGGCATCAAGCACAGCCTCATTGGCTTCCTCGGAGGAACCTCAAGGCTGAGATTGAGATTGCTGGCCCGACCTCTGGCTTCATAGGTGTCTGGGGCTGCAATGGGGGCAGGAACCCAAGTGTGGGGCAGGGGTGTTGGGCTCCCTAGTCGTGCAGACACTCCTCGAGGCCCTGCTGACCCAGATCTGGGGATGCCCACAGCCTCTGGCCTCTGCAGCCCCAGCCCCTCACGGATCCCACACCCAGAGCATCTTCCTCATCTGTACAGCCCCCTCTACCCAGCTCCCAGCAGAGGAAGGAACCCCCCTCTGTTCCCAACGCTTTCCCCTCCACACACTCAGTCTACTGGCATTAGGACAGCCCCTCAGGTCCCCCAGTGCAGTGCCCCTACCCCACGATCCCTACTGCTTCCCGGTCACTCCTGACATCTCTCCTCTCCAGGTCCTGCCCATCCTCCAAGTCCTGGAATAAGTTCTACTTCCAAAGTCAACATCCACACTGCCCAGGGCGCATCACAGGGACCCTGTCTCTTCACCACCAGGATGCAGCTCTGGGTCCTCTCTGCCCTCCAGCCAGTGCCCAGCTCAGCATGTGCCCAGAACACCCCAAGCCCACCCGACCCCATTACCATACAGTGTGGATTTACCGGTAGTGTGGGCGAGGTTTCCCTGACACATTCCCCCATAAGAAGGACCGTTTCTCAGGGACAAGTTTATTACGGGGGACACACTAACCTCTTTCATAATAGCAAAAGGCATAAAAACTACAAAAATATCTGGCTTTCAAGTGTGGGCAGCTCGGTGTGGGGCCTGGTTGAGTCATGACTTGGGCTGCCTTGCTGGCCGGGGGCCCAGGAACCTTCCAGCCACTCCCAGAGAGGACAGGGAAGCAGGGGACAGGCCAAGGTCGAGGTGGGGCTGGACTGGTTCCAGAGAAGGCCTTGGAAACCCCTGCCAGGCTGGTGGCAGAGGTGAGTGGGGCACAGTCTGGATGTGGCCACCCTGGCTCCATTGGGCCCTGGACCAGGGGCCTAACTGGCCAGTTGCCTTCTCCAGAGCCCCTGGCCAAGGGGAAGGAGCAGAGTCCCCTGAAGCTCATAGTGCAGAGAAACCTCCACCCCACCACGACCATCCTGGGGACCAGCAGGGTCAGCTGGTGCTCAGGGCAGAGGCTGCCGTGGCGGAGTGATACCAGGAGGGTTGAGAGAGCATAGGATGGTGGGTGGGACCGTGCCTCAGCACAGAAGGGTAGGTGGGTTGACCATCCCCCGCACTCAGGGCTGGGTGCCGTTGGCCCGAGTGCCTGCCAGGGCCACCTTCCGGGAGGCCTGCAGGGCTGGGTTGTACAGCAGTGTGTAGGCCAGACCCCAGCGGACCCTGCTGCGTCTGGCCCTGGACCCTGCCCCCTTGGCCATGAGGTCCTTTGTCTGCAGCAGCTGCATCCCTGAAAGGGAGAGACCATCTGTGAGTCACTCAATGATCACCCATCCAAGCCTTGCTGCCCCCTAGACATGAGCAGAGAGTTCAACAATCTCATGCACAGTGAGGGTGAGAAGCCTGGGGTTCCAGGTGCCAGCTTGGAGTGGGGTGTGGGGCGTCTATGAAGGCTTAGGATGTCACCCTGCAGGTAACAGGCTGCAGATAGAGTGTGGGGGGGGGATGCTGTGGAGGGGCTGGAAACTGGGTTAGTGCCCCCCACACACACACTTCTGGGCAATAAGGAAGGAGGGGCCACACTCCCTGCCCTGAGGGAGAGGTGGGGGTGGGGCAGCCTGGAGTGGTGGTGGGCAGGACAGAGCCCCTTAGCCAGGCGGCCGGTCCTTCCTCTGCGTGCACACACTGGCGTGTACCTGTGTGTGCTCGTTCATGAAAAAAATCACCAAAGCAGGACCGGGAGGCTGTGAAGCACCCAAGGCGGGGAGGTCCTCCTGGCGCCCACTCTGAGTGCTGTGTAGGCTCGATCCCCCCCACTCTCCGGGGAGGGCGCACCTTCTTCTTCCTCCCCTGGTCTGAGGCTGTTCTGGAAGTCCACTGGGGTCCGGGGTCGGGGGCTCCGAGGTCTCAGAAGCAGGGTACAGAAGGCCATCACAGCAGGGTGTGACTGGCTGACCTCGATCTTTAGGAAGTTTCGGTATGTGCGGTAGCCTGAGGGGTGGAAGGATGGCAGCGCTAGGGGAGGAGGGACCACCAGCTGCTGGAGGTACCTGGACACCCCATAACACGCACAGGGAGTATGCGTGCACCTGCATCCAACCAAGCACACAGACACACAGTATGTCACATACTCCACACACGGGCACATAGGACCTGTCAGAACACGCCGAACCCACTGCACACGACACAGAGCCGCACTCCCCGCAGAGCTGCTCCAGTCACATGCGGTCACACACGTCCTTGTGTCTGTGATATGAACACACGAACACACACACACACATACACACACACAGTCCGTGATGCTGCAGACATCCTCGTAAGCTTACTGGCACAGGGACAAGGCGGGAAGACCTCGCCACTTGATCAGCCCCATCATCCCTCCAGCCCCTGGCCCTGCGCCGTGACCTACCAGGGTCCAGCGTGGCTGCCCTCTGGGGCAGTAGGCTGAGATCCATCTGGCCCAGGTGGACAGTGTTGTAGAGGGCAGAGAGGAGCACTCTCCAGACAGCCGCGACTCCGCCCACCAGCACGTTGAGGGGGAAGAGGAGAAAAGTGGCCGCGTACAGCACCCGCCTGGGGGGGGACAGGAGGAAGCTGAGGCAGTTGCTTCAGAACCCTCCCCAGAGCTCTGTGCATTGATTATCTACCATCTATTGCAGGTGCCAACCTGTGTCAAGCCCTCTCTCTTTCAACTCATCACCCTAGGGGAAGGCAGGGTTACCCCCTCTATAGATGGGAAACTGAGGCACAGAGAGATTTGGGTGGCCTGGCCAAGGCTGGGAAGCTGCTCAGTGGCAGAGTTGGGGTTCAAGTCCAGGTCCACCTGGGGCTTTCTATGACCCTGAAGTCTCCCACCTGCCTCCTCTGGGTCCCCTGACCACTAACTCCAAATCCCTCCTGGGGCAGAGCTTCTCCCACAGCCCTGCCTGACACTGATCCTCCTTCCCCCAAAGGGAGGGGCTGGAGAACCAGGAGAGCAGTGCCAAGTCCCAGAGCGCAGAAGGCTTACAAGGGCCTTCTGACGCCGTGACAGGTATAGAGAAAGGTATTTTGGATCAGGCTGGGCCATTGTTCCTTTCCTCTGTGGGTAAGACAAACTCTTTCTACTCTCTGCTGGGCTTGCTGTTAGAGAAAGGGGAGAGACAGCAGTGGTGAGAGGACACAAAACAGCAGACTGAGAGCCGTAGGGAGCCACAGGCCCAGAGGCCTCCTCACCGGTTGGTCAGCTCTGGGTGTCCATCATGAGTCTCCAGGAAGACCCAGTGGGCTGCCATGTTCTGCAGGATCACAGCCAGAGCCAAGGTCAGCCAGAAGGGCCTGCGGGTGGGGTGGGGAGACGGTCACTGTCGGGGTCCTCTGGGAAGGGGCCCCAGAGCCCTCCGTTCCCGGCCTCACTCACCACGAGGACTCCAGGGAGTGCAGGAGCCAGAGGTTCCTGCCGTGAAGCATAGGCACCAGCACCAGGAAGGCCAGGGTTGTGGTCCCCAGGAAGAAGATGACTTGCTGCACCAGGAGGCCTGCAAGGGCGGGAGTGGCAAGGGGACAGACGCCTGGCTTGATGGGAGCCACCCCTGCCGCCCTGGGAATTCAAGAGCTTTGGAATTGGACAGACCTGGTTTCAGATCTCTGCTCTGCCACTACCTGTGTCACGCTGAGTAATGTATGCTACCTCTCTGAGCCTCGGTTTCTTCTTCTGTAAGATGGGCATAGTGGTCCTACCTTGGAAGGCTGTGGCAAGCCTCTCGTGAGACTGTGTGGTAACTCTTTGAAAACAACAAAGTGCTTTGCCAGTGTTATTCTCCCCCAACTGCTCCTGAGTTCTTAGGGACAAGACCCCATACTAAACAAATGTCTGTATTCCTATGAGTCAGGGCCTGGCATACAGCAGGTATCTAAGGGTTGTCTTTTGAAATAATCTGGCCAATAGATGGCATGGAATCATGTGTTCAAAAGGACTTAGAAGTGCCTCAGGCCCACCAGGACAAGACATGATGACTTTAGCCCCAGTAATTCCTCCACCCTTGCCACCCTTCTCCTCCCCCAGGGAGGTGAGAGCGGAGGGAACTGAAGGAAGAGAAACCGAGCTCCCCTCAGATTCGCAACATCAGCCCAGCCCCACACGGTTCAAAGTGTTTTCCAGGGGAAGGATCAGAAACTTGGGACTGAGGCAGGGGTGTCCTTGAAAGTTGTCTAGTCCAGCTGGGTGCTGTGGCCATGCCTATAATCCCAGCACTTTGGGAGGCGAAAGTGAGAGGGAGGATTGCCTGAGTCCAGGGGTTCGAGACCAGTCTGGGCAACCTGGCAAAACCTCGTCTCTACAATAAACCAAAAAATTAACTGGGCGTGGGGTGTGCGCCTGTAGTTTCAGCTACTTGGAAGGCTGATGGGGAAGGATCACCTGAGCCCAGCAGGTTGTGACTGTAGTGGCCGTGAGCATGCCACTGTACTCTAGCCTGGGCAACAGAGTGAGACTCCAACTCAAAAAAAAAAAGAGAGAGGGAGAGAAAACAAGTTGTCTAGTCCAACTCTCAGGGCTGGACCTCCTTTGCCATGTCCATGGAACTGTGCTTGCATACTCCTAGTGACAAGGATCTCATGACCTTTTTAGGTGGCCCATCCCTTCCTTCCATGAGCAGGAATGTGCCACCTTAAACCTGACACCTCCAGTCTAGAGTCCCCCCTTCATGTCAACACCCGGCGGCACCCAAGGTTTGTCTGCATGTGATGGGTATCCATTCCCCCAGGGCTCCTCACACCCAACAAGCGTGAGTTTCCTGAGGGCAGGCCAGCAGGGTGGGTCCCTCATCTTGCTCCTGCCCCAGAGCCCACCCAGCACAGGCAGCATTTGGGCAAGCCCCGCTGAATGCTCCTTCTCTCTCCATGGGGGCAGGGGGTGAAGGCCAAGCGAGGCCAGCTGTGGGAACAGGGGCACTCACCAAGGCAGGTGAAGGCAGTCTGGTAGGCGCTGAAGCTCATCCAGCAGAATGTGGCTTGGCGGGAGGGTCGGGGGCTCCGGAGCGGGGGACCCAAGTCCAGGGCAGCCCCCCGGTGAAGGGCTTGAAGATTGACCCTGGGTGGGCGCAAGGGAGGCAGGGACCTCAGAGGGCAGCACACACCCCCTAATTCCTCCTCTGGGCCAGCCTCTGGCTCAACTCCCAGTCTAATTACAACCCATGGCCATCAGCAGGGAAGCCCAAGGCTGGAGAAGCTTGGAAAATGCCACTAATCCGAACTGGGAGGTCAGGGAGGGCCTCCTGGAAGAGGTAAGGATACCCATTCCCTAAGGTTACCCTTAAAATAAGGAAGACAAAGCCAGGCAGAAGCCTCAACCTGAGCCAAGTCAGGAATGTAGATGATAATGGGAGAGACACGCAGGTGGGACACCAAGGCTTGAGGCCAGGTAGGCAGGGCCTGGGGACCTTGAATGCCAGGATAAGATGCCCTACAGGGGCGAGAAGGGGAATGCCAGAGCAGGAACTCTGAGGCCCAGTGAATGTACAGGGCACAGAAGCCAGTTCTTTGGCACTGGTGAGTGCCCGGGTCTGACCTTCCCACCGCCCTGTGCCCTCCCTGTCCCCTCCATGCCTAGAATCTCTCAGTGGTCCTCATTCTTCACACAAAAGGGCAAGCAAGGGCCTCAGTATTTGGCACCCATTACCGCCTCTCCAGTGCCTGATGCCCACCAGGCCGCCCTCGCCCACACTCTCACAAGTCAGGTCCACCCAGCCTCTGCTCTTCACCCTCTGCCACTTCTTCCGCTCCCAGCCTGCCTCTCTCCCCTCTCCAGTCCACCTGGTGGCCTTTTCTCAGAGGACACAGGCCACCCCAGTAGGTCGTACCCTGTTACTCACACTGGCAGGCCCCTCCCACCTTCCCCAACTGAGGGGCCGGTAACCTCCTGGGCCGGCAGAGGCCATTCCTGCCTCCAGCCCAGCACCTCCCCACAGGCCCTCGTGGCTGGGGGTGCTGTAGGCCCACAGGGTGCTGACCCCTTCCCCACCTCTGCACTGGGTGAGTCGCAGCCGGCTACTCACCTGTGTGTCACCAGTGAGCGGATCAGGACCAAGAAGGTAAGTGAGCAGGACAGGACCAAGGCCGAGATGTAGCACACTGGTGGGTAGAGAGAGAGAGCAGACTGAAAGCCTCCCAACCCCCAGGGGGTGCAAACCACCCCATCCTGCCCAGTGATGCATGGTGGCCATGATGGAGACAGCCCAGCTCCCAGGCTGCAGACCTGGCCCTGACGCTGCCGTTGCTGCTTCCACTGCTGTGTGTGTCCCCAAGAGACTCTCCTTGCCCTACATCTGCTTCCAGCTCCACCACTGTGAGGCCACGTGGCCTTCAGGAAGGTGCCCGGCCCTCCCTGGCCCCATTAGCCGGTGAACCTACTGCCTGGCCCGCCACTGTGTTGCCAGGTCTCTAGGGTAACTCGCGCCCCTCAGCACCCTTCACGCCGGTGCTTGTGGCCTTTGTCCAGGGCCCAGAGGATGCAAGTCCCCAGCCATGTGGCCTGACTCCATCAAAATGAGCGAGAAGGCCAGTGTTCCCCATCCTGAGGCGTGGTCTGTCCTCCCTTGCCCCCAGCCCAGCCATGTGCATAGCAAGTGTGTGTGGAATGGTGTCTTGTGAACAAGCCTGGGCATTTAAGATTATCAGGACGAGGACCATAGCCCTCCCACCCTGCGCCCCCACCCAGCCTCCCTCTTGACCCACACAGCAACCCCATGAGGTCAGAAGGGGACAGCACGGAGGCTGAGAGAGGACTTCTCCCTGCCAGGCATTTCCACTGTACTCCAACCCTGTCAGTCGGTCCGGGGAAGTGTCCCCGGTGCCTGTATTCCTGTTCACGCAGCCATGTGGGTCTCGGCACTGACCGCAACCTTGGGGTCACCCAGAGCTGTCAAACTCCCCACAGCCCAGCCTGCACCCAGACTAGTCCCATCAGAATTTCTGCAGGGGGGACGCAGCCTGGGCTCTGTGACAGAGACACGGGTGACTCCACGTGGAGAGAGCTACCCTGGGGGCTTCCCGAAGGCAGGACATGGAGAGGGGTATCCCCATCTGCAATGGAACGAAACCAATCAATCAGCCAGAACTCCCTGAGAGCCCGCTGTGGACTTCACTGGCACCAGTATCCCAGCAAGGGGAGGGTCGTTCAGCCAGATGCCGTCCCCACCCTGCAGGTCTGGGGTGGGAGTTGAGCTTTGGGAATCTTCCAGGTGAGTACTGGATGAGCATGACTGCCACAGAGCCCCGTGTCCTGCCTCGCTCCCTCGCCCAGTGCCCTCGAGGGCGCGTTGCTGAAGAGCAGGGCTGGGAGGAAGCACTCCACTGTGTGGCCCTCCCAGAGCCAGTTTGGCTACAGTGAAGGTGCCATCCAGGTCGCGCACTGCAGGAGGCGAGGGGCCTCCTTCTGGGCCTGGCTGGTGCGTGGACAGGCGGACACGGCGGGGAAAGGCCAGAAACCTAGGCTGCAGACATGGTCTTCAATCTCCACCCTTGACTTCCTGCCTCTCTCTACCTCCACTGGTTCCACACTTGGGTGCCCCCCAAACCTGGCAGCACCCACACAATCTTCCTGATCTTTGCCGCCTCTGAGATCCTGCCCCTGCCCCCTTCCTGGCCCTGCTTTGGGGCAGATCACCTGATCGCAGGCCTCAAGGACAAAGGTGCGTTTTGAGCTTCAGCACCCACTTTGCAGGTGGGGAAGTTGAGGTTAGGAGAGGTGAAGCGGACTGCCCAAGGTCACTTGGCTCATAAGCCATGGAGCAGAGATTTCAACTGGTCTGCCTGACTCAGAGCCTGAGCTTTCTGGGTGAAGGATGCCCAGCGTAGGGGCCAGGGCTGGGGGCAGCCCTAGGAGGGACTCCCAGAGCTTGGAAGGCAGCAGCTCCACAGGCTGAGGTCAGCCCCAACTGCTGAGGGTCCTTGGGCATATCCCTAATCCTGTTGGTTCTCAGTTGTCCTCATCTGCATATGAGGAGCATAAACCCTGCTCTGTTTGGCCCCTGCGTCCAAGAAGATCCAAAGCAGGGACATTTGAGCTTGGAAACAGTGACATGCAATGATAGGTGTGAGGTATGATGAGTGTCAGGTGGAAGCAGGTCTTGTCACTCTAGCTTCTGAGCCTCAGTTTCCTGCTTTGTGAGCTGGGGCCTATGATGCCGACCTGACAGGGCACTACAGGGCATGACCGTGGGCTGATCCTGGACCGTGGCTTCTCCTGCCAGTGACCCAACTTGCAGCTACCGTGGAAATTCTCCCTGGAGGCATCATTTTCAGCCCATCAGGAACCCGTCACCTGTCCCAAATATAGGCCTCAGTTCCAGGACAGTCTCCAGTGTGGGAGTAGAGGCACTCAGGGAGGTAGAGGCTGGGGAGAGGAGGCAGTCGCCCCACACCTATGCCCGCCTCCCCACCTATCTCCATCACAGCACGCCCAGGCGTGGGACAGGATGATGTCAAGGTCAGAATCAGCAGCAGAGCAGCCATGACTTCACCTGCCGCGCCAGCCCAGGTAGGAGCCCAGGCTCCTACCATTGCATGCTACTCCTCAGAAATCAGGGAGTCCATACCAGCCCGGAGTCCCCAGGCCAGCCGAGGGTGCAGCCCCGAGAGTCCTGCCCACCAAGTTTTGTCTCCGTGGTAGAGACAGCCTGGCCCAGATGGCCACAGGCAAACTCGTCCCCATGTGTCAGGTGGAGACACATCTCGGTCCCCCTGGGAGGGCCTGGAGGTGACCGGTAGGCTGCAGGAAACCCCTCCCCATGTCTTAGTCCCCACCGCAGGGCTGCTGGGAGGTCCAGGAGGTGGCTACAGGAGGAATCAGACCACAGATGGGGAGGGAGGCCCGGATGGTTCCCTGGTCAGGGGCTCATTGTCAGGGGAGGGAAGGAGAAAGGAGGTGGCCCAAGAAAACAGGGATTCGGAGAGAAATTACATGCCCTGCCCACCCCTCGCTGTGAGGATGGGCTTAGACATCCTGCCCACTGTCCCCAGCCTGGCCTCCTCTCCTTCCCCATCCTCAGTTCACTTGTCCTGGCCTTCCTGTCTCCATACCTGGAGAGTCGGCCAAAGACCCTGGGGAGGGAGCAGGGGCTGCCAAGGGGGTCCCTTCAGGTTTCATGGACACTTCACTTGAATCTGAAAGCTCCGACAGCTCCCATTTGGAGATGCCGCAACCGAGACCCAGAGAGGGGAAGGAACGTGCCCAGGGGCCCCAGGGGTGTTTGCAGCAGGAGGGGACCCAGGCTCGGGTCTCCTGGCTTGCATCCCCACTGTGGCCCTCGGGGTTCCAGGGAGGTCTCACCTTCCAGAGCCCACAGATGGTGTTTCACCAGCTCCACCACCTCCTGCCTGTCCTCCGAGAGCACGATTCCAAAGCCGGCCAGCAGGTAGGAGACGTCCGTGGTGACCCCTGCCCTCACCTTCTGGATGGTGGGCACCACACCCACCAACAGCAGTAGGGCTACCTGGAAGAGTCCCCTGGTGAGGGCGCCGGGTCTGGCTGTGCTCACACCAGGCACTCCAGTTCCAGGAGAAGTGTTTTCTGTGCTCACGGGGGAGGCTTCTGGGGGCAGGACCACTGTCCATGGGAGCGTCCTTATCTGCCCCTTAGAGGAGGGCCTCATGACTGCACAGCACATTACAGACAGATGAGACTATGGTCTGATAGGCCAGATACAGGCTTCCAAGCACCACAACTATATACAATTGGGACTCCATATTCGTAGGTTCCACATCCACAATCAACCAGTGCAACCAGCCATAGATCCAAAATCTTCAGGAAAAAATAAAACACAATACAAAACAACAAGACTGGACGCCATGGCTCACACCCATATTCCCAGCAATTTGGGAGGCCAAGTCAGGAGGATTGCTTAAAGCCAGGAGTTCGACCTGGGCAACTAGCAAGACCATGTATCTACAAAAATTAGCTGGGCGTGGTGGTCCCAGCATGCCTGCAATCCCAGTTGCTCAGGAGGCTGAGGTGGGAGGGGAGCCCCACCTCAGGAGTTGGAGGCTGTAGTGAGCTATGGTCACGCCACAGCACTCCAGCCTGGGTGACAGAGTAAGACCTTGTCTTCTTAAAAAAAATACAGTAATAAAAAATAATACAAATAAAAAACAACACAGTGTAACAACTCTTCCCATAGCATTTACATTGTACTAGGTGTCGTAAGTCATCTAGAGTGAATGATGTATACAGAAGACATGCCTATCATATGCAAATGCTACGTCATTTTACAACAGAGTCTTGAGCATCTGTGAACTTGGTATCTAGGGGGGGTCTTGGAACCAATCCCCCTTGGGTACTGGGGCGACTGTACCTACCCCTCCCCCTCCTCGTCTCTCTCTCTCTATGTAAACTTCAGAATATAAAATTTCCAATTTTTCATGTTGGAGAAAGCAAATGAGCACAGGTATTAAAGTTAGACAAATCTAGCTTTTAGCTATCCTGAGAAACTAGCTGTGTAGGAACTTGCCCAAACTCACCTCTTTGAACCTCAATTTCCCCATCTGTAAAATAGAGAAAAGTCATCCCTCCTTCCCAGGATTTTAATGGTTGCCTTTTTTTTTCAAGTATGGTGAGGGCTAGGGGGATTTGTTAAACATGTTGTCTCATTAAATCTTCCCAACTACTCAAACAGGAAAACAATTCTATTTACAGATGAGCTAACAGGGTCAGAGAGGTTGAATGACTTGTCCAAGGCCACACAGGAGCCAGAATTTAAATCTGTGTTTATGTAGGCTCCAGAACTCATGCTCCAAGTCACTGTGAAAGCCCAAGAGTTAACCCCCGCCCTTCTGAGAAGGTCTCCCCAAGATGTCCAGACGCAGCCGGCCAGGACTGTGGTGTGCCATCTGGAGAGCTGGGTTGGGCTTGAATGGCTCCAGGCTGGGGGGTTGAAGACAGGGGTCCGGAGGCAGATGGCACTGCAGGGGACAGGACGTACCTGGTAAATGGCTGTCCCTGTCAGAGTGACTGAAAGCACCAGCTTCAAGGGGAGGCGGAATCCTGCAGTTCCCAAAAGAAGGGGTGTGGTGAGCAGTGCCACCCAGGCCAGGAGAACCCTACCGATCCAAGGGCCCCAGAGAAACGCTGGGGATCACAGGGCGCTGGAACAGGCCAGGACAGGGTCTTCCCCTCGGCACTCCTGATGAGGAGGATTCTGGAGAGGAGCCGGCCCTCTGCAAGGCCACTCTGTAGAAGGGAGGGTGAAGTCCCTGTCACTCATGGCCTCAGCTCCGAATCCCTTACCTCGCGGTGGAGTGTAGACCCAGCGTCTGAGGCAGATCCAGGCCCAGGACAGGAAGCCTCGCTTGGAAGTGTGGGAGCTGCGGGAAGATCCCAGCAGGCAGGGGGCCCTCAGGAGAAGCCCTGGCCCCAGAGCAGGCCCCAGAGGCCAGTCACCCTCAGCTCTGCCCCAAGCATGTCTGCTCACGAGTCCTCCCACAGCCCCCGAGGGCGTGCCCGGGATCTCACCTGTTGTCCAGCTTCTTCCGGCGAAGGACGCTTTTCAGGTATTCCTCAGATTCCCTGCTCTGCCAGCCCTGTGAAAACAGACCGCTAGAGAAGCCCGTGGGACCTGCCTGGAGCCAGCGTCAGTCTGAGTCGGGGAACTAGAGTTTTCTCCCAATAGGTGCTGCTTTAAAGCCTCTTGGCAGCTGGGCTTCGTGGCTCAGCCTGTCATCCCAGCACTTTGGGAGGCCGAGGCAGAAGGATTACCCAGGATTCGAGACCAGCCTCGCTGCTACAAAAAATTAAAACAAATTAGCCAGGAGTGGTGGCACACACTATCGTCCCAGCTACTTGGGAGACTGAGGTGAAAGGATCACCTGAGTCCAGGAGGTCGAGGCTGTGGTGAGCCGTGATCATGCCACTGCACTCCAGCCTGAGCAACAGAGTAAGACTCTGACTCAAAAAAGACACCGCTTGGCCATGGTGGTGGTAATAAGTGGAGAGGGCTGGCCTGTGGGGACGAGGTCCATCCCTCTAAACCCACCCTTTTCTCTTCCACGAATACCAGACGAGTCAGTCTCCTATCAAAGAACCCTCAATGCCAGGAAGTTCTTAAGATCTAGCTCCAACTCTCTCCTGCTTTACTCAGTCCCATCTCATCACTGCTTCCCTCCCAGTTCCCTGGCTTCTGCTAGCCGAGACTGGGGCAAGAGGGAGCCTATGTCAATAGGCACACATCCCTGGCCAGGACACCAAAGGGGTCATTCCAGGTCAGCTCTTCCCCACCCCCAGGTCTCCTACTACTCCTCAAGGGAGATCACAAGGGTGGTCAGATTTGTCTAAGCCACATTCCAGGCCTTAAGCTGCCCGCACAGAGGCAGAGACCCATGGGAAGATGAGGTGAGCCCCTGCCCTGGGTCGTCTGTTGCCAAGGCAACCCCAGGATCCAGGACAAGAGTGGGGCAGCTCAAAGCTTGATGGGGTCCTTGGAGGTTTAAACCTCTCTGACCCAAGTCCAAAGAGGATTTGATTCCTCTTGAGATGGGGCGGAAAGGCTAGCAATGTCCTGGAAGTGGAAGTCCTGGAAGACGGGGTACAGGGAGTGCCTGAGTTACTGCGTGTCACCAGGGGAGCTCCCCTCTTTCAGGTGGCTGTAAACATAGGGGATGAGAGGCTTCCTCAATGAGTGTGGGCATCAAATGCCTAGAAGCCCAGTGCCTACCACACAGGGCCTAAGAGTCAGCAGGCCCGTGGGGACCCAGAACTGCCCCTTGGGAACCCCAACACCGGCCTCTTCTCACTTCTCTCCATCCCCCTGAGACCTCATGGGAAAACCCAGTCCCAGCCTCTTGCTGAGCTCCAGTCCTGAAACAGGAGCAGCACCTGGTGACCAACACTGTCCTGGGAGCACCTCTCTCCCCCGCAGGCCTCCAGGGGCCCACCCCTGCTCTCTCAGTGTCCAGATGCCTTCTGTTAAGCCTTACCTCCACCTGCCCCACCTGAAGAAGAACCACGCCCTCTGGGCTCCATGCCCTCAGCCTGTCTTGAGACTGCCCCCTCCCCTGAGGGCCTCTGTGGAGCTCTCCTCGTCTCTCTCGCCAGAAGTGACTTGACCTGCCTGCAGCCCCTTCCCACCTTGTTTGGAGGGACCCGCTGCACATTTCACATTGTGCTGTAAGTATCTGCAGCTGCATCCATCTCCCCCGAACTCCAACACCAGGAGTTCCGGGAGGGCACAGAGGCCAGGGACCTCTGTATCCACAGCACCGAGCCCAGGGCCTGCCACAGGTAGGTGTTTAGACAGCTTTTCAATAAAATCACAGCATCCTTAAAAGTTCTCTCTCCCATCCATCCATCCACCTATCCTTCCATTCATCTATTCATCCAACTGTCCTTCCATCTATCTGCCAATCCATTCATTCTCTCCATCCGCCCTTCCTTTCATCCATCCATCCATCTTTCCATCCACCTATCCACTCAACTATTCGTCTGTTCACACATTCATCCACCCTTCTGTCCATCCACTCATTCATCCATCCACCCACCCATCCTTCCATCCATCTATCCATCTACCCTTCCTTCCATCCATCTATCCATCCACCCATCCTTCCATCCATCTATCCGTTCATCCACCCATCCACCTATCTACCCATCTACTATCTGCCCATCCATCATCTACCCATCCACCATCCACCTATTCTTCCATCCATCTATCTTTCCATCCATCTCTCCATCCTCCACCCATCCACCATCCACCCCTTCACCATGCACCCATCCATCCATCCATCCACCTATCCTTTCATTCGTCTACCTTTCTACCCATCTCTCCATCCATCCATCTCTCCATCCACCCACCCATCCATCCATCTCTCCATCCATCCATCCACCTATCCTTTCATCCATCCATCCACTCATCCACCCATTCATCCATTTTTTCATTCATCTGTCCTTCCTTCATCTACCCATCCATCCATCCACTCATCCACCCATCCACCCATCTATCCTTCCTTCCATTCATCTATTCATCCACCCATCCACCCATCTATCTATCCATCCATCCATCCACTCACCTCTCCATTCTTTTCCATTTATCTGTCTATCTATCCATCCATTCACTCACCCATCCCTTCTTTCATCCATCTATCCTTCGTTCCATCCACTTATCCTTTCTTCATCTTTCCATCCATCTGTTCATCCCTCTAGCCATTCCATCCATCCTATTATCCATCCATTCATCCTTCCTTCCACCCATCCTTCCATCTATCTATCTTTCCACCCATCCATTGATCCATGCTTCCTCGCTTTCATCCATCTTTCTTCCTTCCATCCATCTTTCCATTCATCCATCCATCCTTCCTTCCATCCATCTTTCCATCTATCTTTCCATCCAGCCATCTATCCTTCCTTCCATCCATCCATCTTTCCATTCATCTATCTTTTCATCCATCCATCCTTTTATCCATCTGTCCTTCCTTCCATCCATCTTTCCATCCATCCATCCATTCATCCAACCTCCACCCATCCTTCCACCATTCCGCTCATCCAGCATCCATCCATCCTTTCATCCATTCATCCATCCTTCCCTCTCTCCACTCATCCATCCATCCGTCCGTCTGTCCATCCATCTATCCATCCATCTGCCCAAAAACTTAAAAAGACTTCCTGAGTGTCTTTTACAGGCTAAGACCTGCCCAGTGCTGTAAACGTAGACACAAATGAAACAGTCAGAACCCATTTCTGCCCCTTTACTCATGCTCTTTCCTATGCCTACAATGCCATCTCCCTTTCTTCTACCCACTCCAGATCCTCCTTGTCCTGGCTAAAGTTAACCTTTTCCAGGAAGGCTTCCCAGATCTCCCCTTTAGCTGCCAATATCCACTTGTATCCACTCTAGAGTTGATTCATGATGTACTTCTACCCTGGGCACTTCCCAGATGACCTTAGCATGTGCAGAACTCTGACTAGGCACTTGGGTCTGGGCCTGTCTCATTTTTCCAGTGGAATCCTCAGTGTTTCACAGACAGAACAACAAATTTCCTGTCCTCTGACTCAGTTCTCCTTTGTTGAGTCCCTAGTATTCACACAGCCCAGCCTTTGCCTGGGGGAGTGGGGAGGACTCGGCAGTCAGTCGGTGGCTCTGCAAACATTTTCTGGCACCTGTTCTGGGCTGGACTCTACACAAGCATAGCCATACATATGCAACCACAGGCATGGGGCAACTGGGGTCTTGGGGGCTGCGTGGGCACCCGTCTCAGCCCTGCCCCTTTACCTGGGAGCCTTCTCCTGTCCTGTGGCTGAAACTCCTCACCAGCTGCATCGGGTACCAGAGGCTCAGGAATCCAAGGCCTAGGAGGAGAGGCAAGGAGGCCAGCAGGGAGTAGTACTTGTAGACCTGGACAGACAGACGTTCAGACAGACTCACCTTCTGCCTTCTTCTCTCAACCTAGAGCCAGAACCCATTTCCCCTCCCCCTCACACTGGGCCCCAAGGATGGTCTGGGGATCCCTGGTTCTATAGCCCCTGACCCGCACCCAGCACAAAGCTACCACCTCCCTTCATCCCTTTCCCAGGCTCCTGGATTCCCAGGCCTGGAAGGAGCCAAAACGAGGAGGTCACATGACCCCCTCCTGCCCACCCCAGGGAGTCAGAGTGAGGCCTGAAGTGGAGGACACCCACTTTCCATGTTCCTATATTCCTATGGTCCCAGAGCGCTAGGACACAGGCCCCTGAAAATCAGACAAGTGCCTACTTTTTGAGTCAAGTTCTCACTGTGTCACCCAGGCTGGAGTAAAGTGGCACCATCACAGCTCACCACAGCCTCGACCTCCTGGGTTCCGGCAATCCTTCTGCCTTAGCCTCCCGCATAGCTGGGACTACAGGCATGCACCACCACACCCAGCTAATTTTTTTTTTTGTAGAGACGAGGTCTCACTATATTGCCCAGGCTGGTCTCAAACTCCTGAGACCAAGTGGTCCTCCCACTTTAGCCTCCCAAAATGCTGGGATTACAGTCAGGAGTCACCGTGGCTGGCAGAAATGCCTGATTTTGTCTACATATAGTTTATGACCTGGGCATCAAGGAAGCACATGCCTTGCTTCCCAGGGACGAGGTGTCCCTGGGGTTGGGTCTCCCACGTATTCATTCATTTATTGGTCAGCTCAGCATGTGTTAATTACTGAGGATGTACAAGGATCTGGGTGGCAAGAAAGAGCCACCAAGTCCCCCCCTCAAAGCAACCCCCTCATCTTCACCTCCACTCCACTGACAGGTGAGGAAACTGAGTCTCAGAAAGGTGACACTGTTTCCTCAAGGCACTTAATACCATCTGGCATCACTTTATTGTGTCTCCCCTTCTGGAATGACAGCTCTTGGGAGGTTAGGGGCCTTGTTTGTCTTGTTCACAGCTGTAGATCAGTGCCTGGAAATGTCCCTGCTACAGAGTATGTGCTTCAAACGTTTGTTGAATGAATGAGTGAGGGAGTAAATAAAGCGATGAAACCAGATACAAACTCAGGTGGTCTGGCTCCAAAGCCCACACCACTGCTCTCTGGGTTCTAGACGAGGCTGCATCACACCCCTGCCAGCAGCCCATGAGCCAGGTTCCGAGGTTCTAGAATTCTCTTCCTAGGCCTCTGAACCCACCCCCCAACCCTGCCTCTTCACTCCACCCCTCCCCAGCCTGAACCAGGGGATTTCAGGCTCTTTCCCTCCTGGATTGACCTTGTCCCTGCCCACCCAGAGAGAAGCCAACCTTGGAGTGAGAGTGTGTTGAAAGGTGTAATGGAGGGTGGCCGGGCAGTCCAGGGTAAAAACAACTCAAAGGAGGCCCGTTGCCCCAAACAGGCCACCCTGCATGCCCTCAGGGCCATTGAGAGTCAGCGGTTACCTTGGGTGCCTGAGGACACTCTGCCCTCTGCCAGACCTGGACCCCGAAGTGGGCCCAGGACAGGGCACTGCCGAGCAGGTGTGCAGCTCTGTGGCCAGCCGTGGCACAGGCGGCCAGGGGGTAGTAGAGGGCAGCGCAGTACAGCAGACCCAGCATTGTCCAGGGCCCTGGAAGGCGACATGGGCAGAGACTCACACTAGAGGGCCGGGCGTGGCACCGGACGAGCCCACCCAGGGGCTTCTCTCCTGTCTCCAGCTTCCAAGCCTCTTGGCGAGTTCAGTGGGCAAGAGCCCTGGGTTCAAATCTTTGGGATTTGGGCAAGTTACCTCTTAGAGTCTCAGTTTTCCCATCTGTAAAATGGAAATAATCAGAGTACATTAGCAAGGACAGAATGAGAAGGTGAACGTGCAGTGCTTAGCACAGTGCCTGAGTAAGTACCCAATAACGCAGGCTGCTCCTGCATCAGGGCTCCCCTCTCCGATCTCAGTTCCCTTCCCTGCAAAATGAGCCTAATACCCACAGTTCGCAGAGTCATTGTGAAGACTGGACAATCCAAAGAGGTCACATCTCGGGACAGCAGCCATGCCACCAACACCAGGCTATTCTTGCAACATCACCCCCTCCAGTCAAGCGTAATGCCTGGGACCCCACCCTCCCCCAGCCCATCAAGCCAGCCCCAGAGTACCTGGGCTGGGGGATGAGGCGAGGGCCAGGAAGGGCAGCGGGTCCTCAGTGAGCAGCAGGCACAGGGAGCTGAGGAGGGCCGTGAAGACAGCGGCAGGCGCGGCCCGGGGGCCGTCCCCAGCCAGGAAATCCACAGGGCTGGAGCAGAAGCAGGCAGGGCGGGGTCACTCAGCCCCCACCCTCACTATCCCCAGGCTGCAGAAGTGGGGGCAGGCCCACTTTCCAGATGGGAAAACTGAGACCCCTTTCTCCACTTTCCTTCCCTCCTTCCCTCCCTCTTTCTTCCTTCCCTCCTCCCTTTCTCCTTCCCCCTCTCCCTTCTTCCCCCTTCTTCCTTCCATGGATATCTGGGGAGTGCTTCCTATCTAACAAGCAAGCTCTGGGCCTGTGGCAACAGTCACGGTGGTGGCAACAAGCCCAAGCATGGCTCTGTCCGCCCACCCTGGTCTCCAGGAAGCAGCTGCCTCCAGCCAATGGGCCTGTCTGTCTGGGCTGGCAGACCTTCAGAGGGCTCAGCAGTCACAACATCCTTGTGCAACGGCAGCCGCCCAGGCTGGGTGTGGACCCGGGCAGAGGGCAGACGGAGGGCACGGCTGTCCCAGGCACTGCCCTCTGGGCTGGGGCACTCGGCTCTGACCCGGCCTCTGAGCGCCAGCCTGCGTATGCTCCGAGAGCTCCAACCTGCTGCCCCCTCAGCACCCACAGGCGGGGCCAACTCTTTCCTGGGCCAACCAGAGACCCCAGGATGGTTCCAGCAAAACCAGCACAATAGCCGGGTGTGGTAGCGCCTGCCTGTAGTTCCGGCTACTCAGAAGGCTGAGACGGAAGGATCGCCGGAGCCCAGCAGGTCAAGGCTGCGGTGGCTGGGAGCGGCCACTGCACTCCAGTCTGGGTGACAGAGTGAGACTCCAACTCAAAAAAAAAAAAAAAAAAAACCAGCACAGCCGAGCCCACCTCGGTGCACAGACCGGTCTGGGGCACAAGGCTGTCTGCACTGGGGCTCACTCACCCTCAGGCCACCCCACACGAGCCCGCCCCATCCCAGCTCCTCAGGGTCATGCCTGTCCCAGGCTCTCTGGGCTTGCACTGCTGACGCAGGGAACATTCTCATCATAGGAGCAGTGGCCAGTCCCTCCTGAGGCTGCCTTTAAGTACCAGGTCCAGGGGAAAAGAGGCCAAGGTGGTGTCAGCGTGGTCGTGGTCAGCCCACACCCGGGGCTGCATGAGGAGGCATAGCCTGGAGCTGGGTCCTGCAGGGCTCAGGTTTTCCTGGGGTCTGGGTTGGCTCTTTCTCCCATGTCTGGGACAACAGGAGCAGGTGAGCCTGAACATGTTCCCCTCGCCCATCTCCCCCAGGAGTTCTGAATAACCCTGGAGATCCAGGTGGGGGTGAGGAAAGCGTCCAAGATGAGAGAGGCGAGGCATCACTGAGGCCAGAGCTGGCTTTCAGAGACTCAGCTGGCTTTCAGGGACTCAGCAAGTCTCCCACCCACCCAGGGCCTGTTGGTGGATGTGCCCCAAGGGTGGGGTAGTGGCCCCGGCACCCACCTGGGTAGGCCAGGCCTGCCGTGCCCACAGTCGGGCCAGAGCCGGCGGCGCCTCTCCAGCACGGCCAGCAGCAGCAGCACAAGGATCTGGAAAAGCCACAGATGGAGGCTTGGGGCGCCCACCCGGGCCCCAGGACACCCTCTGCCCCCGGGGCATACTCCTGCGGCATCTTGGGGACTGGTCGGGAGGTGACAGATGCCACCTGCATCCTGTTTGGGCCCCTGCCCTGGGAGAGCTCCCAGGCACCCTTCCCAGGGTCCCCTTCATCAGCCCCACAAGGGACACCCAGGCCCCAGCAGGTGGCAAGCCAGGCCGGGCTCGGGCTGGACTCACTGACAGCGAGGCCAGGCAGGCGTGGTACAGGCCGGGTGTCACACTGGGGTGGCAGGAGGGCACCGCCCTGCAGAGGAAACAAGGCTGGCTCAGGCTTGGGTAGGCCCCCTGTGAAGTTCAAGGCCTTTCACACAGAGGCTCCACCCCCCACCTCCCTCAGCCCTCTGATCTCTCCCACACCAGTCTGCCCGGCGCCACCTTCTCAGCGTCGTTCCAGGGCCCTTGAATCCCAGTGGTGTGCCGGCCCCATCGAGCTCCAGGGTCCCAGGACTGAAGAAGACAGGAGGTTCCCGGGGGGCGGAGCAGGCCAGTGCGGCCTGGAGCCCTGTTCTTCCTCTGGGTGCTCCCTATCTTTCAAGGCCCCCGTCATTTTCTCCCCCTCCAAGAAGACTTCCTGACTGCCTGACCTCACAGACCTCCTCTTCTCAGAACTGTGGTTGAGCATTTACCTGGGCAAAGCAGTCAAGAGTTTGGTAATATGATTTTCCCTCCACTCACTGGTATCCGAGACTGGCCTGTGACTGGAATGGTCTTCCCTGCCCACCCGCTTCCTGTTTTCCTCTCATTCAGAGCCTCCACATACAGCTGTTCAGGTTGCACACTGCACAAGAATGCCCAGCCGAGAGAATGGATGTGGTCTGAGATCCAGGCCACACTACTCACCGAGCCCTGCTCCCCACGAGCTGAATATGCCTAAATGGGGGTCCCTTTTTCTGATTCCATAGAGGCTCCATAGGCCTGGCAGAGGGCCTTCTCTCCCTTCGGCTGAGCACAGATGGAGGACCCGCAGTGGAGACAAGGAGACAGGACAATGAAAGCCTCAACTTCCCCAGCTGGGTCAGGTGGCAGAGACAGTGGACCAGGCAGGAGTCCTGAGCTCAGGGTTGGAGCTGGGAGAGTGGCAGGACTGGGTCCCCGGCACAGAGTAGACCTCCAGGTGTGCCCAGCTTGGGCCCGGCAGTGCCAGGGGAAGACGGCAGTGTGGGCGAGGTTGGTGAGGTCTAGGATCAAGGGCCTAGGCAGAGCCCTGAGCTGCAGCCAGCCTTGCCTGCCTAGAAGGCTCAGCCCACCCGCCTGGCACCCCGCTGTGTGCACAAAGCAAAGCCTCCTCTTCCAGGGTGAGCCTGGGGGCCCTGGGGCCTGGGCGGTCCTGCCTCTCCCACCCGCTCTCAGGAAATCCCAGAGGGGAAGCCACTTGGGCCTGCCCTAGGAGTGGAGGGCAGAACGGTCCGTTCTGTGCAGCTGCCAGGGGCAGGGCTGGCCTCTCCCCAGGCAGCACTGGGCTCAGGGGTACAGTGGGTGCCAGACCAGGGTCAGGTTCCATCGTCTGGCACTCCTGCTTCCCACCTTGAGACCCCCACTCCAGTGCGTATGGTGGGGCAAGGGCTCCTGCCCGGCCCCTCTCAGTCCACGGTCACGCGACCAGGCCCTGTTCCACCCTGAGGGACTGGGCCACCTGGCCCTAGAGTAGCTTGATCTTACCCCCAAGCCAGGAACTACACTGCCCCCCGGGGATGCCCTCCGGGGCCCTGTCTGGGGGAACCTCTGGCCCTTTCTGTACTGCCTGAAGTTCCCATCTGACACTCAGCTCAAGAGTGTTTGTTCCGTGAGCAAATAAATGTCTGGCCAGTGGCTTGTGGCCCAGTGTTGAGTACTATGGGACAGGCAGGATGGCATAGACACGAAGGATGACACTTCATGGAGGGGAGTGTGGTAAGCTAGATCCCAGGACAGGCACAAGAGGGGCTGAAGGATGCAGAGGAGGGAGAGAAACTTCGGGAAAGAGGAAGCAGTGGCTGACTTGAATTTAAAAGCTAGTTAGCACCTGGTGCAGTGACTCTCGCCTGCAATCCCAGGACTTTGGGAGGCTGAGGCAGGAGGATCATTTGAGAACAGGAGTCCAAGTCCAGCCTGGACAACATAGCGAGACCTCCTCTCTACAAAAAATCAAAAAATTAGCCACAAGTGGTGGTGCACACCTGTAGTCTCAGCTACTTGGGAGACTGAGCTCAGGAGGTTGAGACTGCAATGATGGTGCCACTGTACTCCAGCCTGGGTGACAGAGTGAAACCCGGACAACAACAACAAAAAAGGCTGGCATCTCTCTAGGCAGGGAAGGAAGTAGCTTGGGGCAGAGAGAACAACAGGAAAAGGCAGTGTGGCAGGTGCTGGCAGCGTGGCTGGGGTAAGGGAAGCCTTTGAGCTGACTGCAGCCCAGGGCCAGGCTAGACCAGATGACAGCTGGCTTGGGAGGCCCTGGGAAACCATGGCGCGTCCTGGATTTCAGGAAATTCCTGCAGCCCAAATCCACCAGCACCAGTGCCCAGCCCCCCACGGCAGCCTGGCAATGCGGGGGCTCGCTGGTTTTGGTGCGCCCCGGCCCCAGGGTGCCTGACTCACACAGGGAGAGGCAAGCCCAAATTCAGCTCCCTGGAGTTCCCCTGGGCTCCCCATGACCTAAGTCCTGCTCCCGCCTTTGGGGGTAGGGGAGGGCAGGCCGCTCGACGTGGTTTGCTAAGGAAGAAGATTCGAACACACCTCCTCATTTTTAGGGTGCCAGGCCCCGTCCTGGGAGAAGGGAGCTGTAGATCCTCATCAGTGCCCACACCAGGGGCAGCATTCCCCGGCCCCCCCACCTCGGGCCCTGTCCTGCGCCTGGCAGGACCACATCTGAGACCACATCCAGATGCCCAGTTACAGGGCTGGCCACAGCCACATGGCTCCCGGCCAGTGCCCGGCCTTGGACTTCAAAGAACACAGCTTCAGATTAGGGCCTTAACCTCAGCCAGGGTCTCTGTCCTCAAGGATTCCTGGCCCCTCTCCATTAGGTCCCTTCCCAGTCACAAAGACACAGCCAGGACAGGGGAGCCCACAGGCTCTCAAGGTCAGCCAGGGGACGCGTGGGGGGCGCACCCCTGTGACAGCAGCCTGACTTCCAGGTGTCAGCAGCCCAGTCCTCCCCCAGGCCTGGGTGGGGCCTCCGTCCCTGCTGGGTGACCCAAGCCCAGCCAGGCTGCAGTCCTGGCCCCCGGGGAAGCACGCAAGGATTTTTCCTCCTCCGGTTTCAGGTTTTGATGGGGAACAGATGTGCGCACATCTGGCTCAGCAACCCCTCAGCCTCACCTTTCCAGTTCCCCAGACCCCAAGACGGGGCATGGAGGCAGGGGATGGGGCCCGAGGCCGGGAATGGCAGGGAGACCTGGGCTCTGGGTCCCCCACCAGCAAGGCATCCTGGCAGCAGGTAGGGGGTACAGAAAGGCCCAGCTCCTCCGCCAGGCAACCCAGACCAAGCAGAGGGAGCAAGGGGCTGGGTGGGGGCGGAGAGGCCGTGGCCGGAACCCCCTTCCACTCGAGCTGGCCTGAACACTCTTACTAAAGAGAACTGGCCTTTTAAATCTCCCCAGACTCTGAGACCATTCAAAGACAGCAAGGGAGCATGCCTCCCCCGCCACACCCCAAAGCCTGCCCAGAGAACCCGACACCCATAAACGCCACACCCCAAAGGGTCACCACAGCGACCAGGAACCCCTGGGAGGAGGCAGGCCCACAGCCCTCAGCAGCTCCCTCATCCTGGCTACAGCAGGAATCTCCCAGGGAGCCGCCCCTGACCTGCTGGAACAGAATCTGCAAGGAGGGGGCCCAGGAATCTGCATTTGAAACACATCACACAGGTGTTTTTTAGGTGACCAGCGTGGCCTGTGTCCCCCACCTCAAGCATCTTAACAGGAGAGCTAGGGGAGTTCTCGAGATGCAGAGATATAAGCCCAGAGAGGCTGTGACTTGCCCAGGGTCACACAGCATGTGAGTGGCACCACTGGCCTTAGCAGCTCTGGCCCAGGACCTGTTCCCCACCCCAACTGCTAACCTGACCCCCTGCTCTGCCGACCTACACCCCACGCAGATCCTCACTTACCCCTCGGGCTGGAGCTCCTCGCCACTCTGGGGCTCATCTATGTACCAGCTGGCGTAGTCATCCACGGCCCCAGCCGAGGTCTGGTTCCCTGCTGCCTGGGACGACATCTCGGCCCTTCTCGTTGACCTCCAGTAGAGAGAGAGAAAAAAAAAGCCACTGCAGATGTGAAAAGAGGCTTAAAAGAAAAAAAAAAAAGAAAACCCAAACAAAGAAGCATTTCTCTTTGCTCCTAAAGGTTACTTTCTTGCTTTGAGCTCTCTGGGAAAAGCCTGGCTGGGACCAAGGGCCTGGAGGCTGGCACAGGACAGGGAAAAGGGCCTCTCGCCGCCTCCGGTCCTTTCCTGCCCTCGGGTCCCTGGGCTCACGCCCGGGCATCTGTCTGTCTGTCCGTCTGACCAGCCACCAGCAGGCCTTTGTTCAAAAGACCATTTTCAAAGCAGGTTTGCCGGGTCCAAGCTGCCCACAGAGACCCTCTCCCCGCCCCTTCCCAAGCCCACCCAGACGGACCCACAGACCCACCAGAAGGGAGAACCAAGGAAGGCTGGCCGCAGCGGCGAGAGGGTGGGCGGGCCAGGGACAGCTCCACGCTGTCGGCCTGGGCCCTCCCAGCTGGGATCCCGCCCCTCCCGCTCTCGGGGGTCCAGCGAGCCCCTCCCCCGGCTTCAGCCTGCCCCTCTCTGGCCCCTCTGGGCCATCACCATAATCCTTGGCCAAGCTCTCTCGTGGGGGAGGAGGTCCCAGCCCCATGGGCGGGTCACTGGAGGGGTGTGGCCGGGAGGGGCCCCCAGCACCTTACTTCACATACATACCTGCCTTGGGCACCGCCCAGGGCTCCCACCATTGCAGGAGCCCAAGGCCAGGAGGGGGGTGGGCTGTCGGTCCCTTCTCCTGGGGTCTCCGTGAAGGACGAAACATGTGTCCCATTGGTCAACCCTCTTTGTTCCTTGATTTCACAAGGAGATAATTCACCCCCGTGAGGCGGAAATGAGTTATTTAAACACGAACCAGATCCAAGGGTGGGCAAGTGGAGCCCCGCCCCGCCACCTCCTCCCACCTCCTCCTTGGGGCGCTGGGTGAGGAAGGCAGAGGCAGAGTGTTCCTCTCCCTCCCCACTCCCCTCAGGAGCAGGACCCAGGCTACAGCCCTAGGCTAAGGCCCTACGCTAAGGCATTCGTTCAAGTTCAACAGTTTTTAAAAAGACATTCATCCATTTATGCTTTTCACATACGTTTATTGAATACCTACTATGTGCCAGCACTACTCTGGGCCCTGGGGCATTCAGGGGACACAGAGCCAGGTAAGGGAATGACTTCCCTAGCCTGAGGCTTACCAAGGGAAGGCACCTGGTGACTGACCTGAGACAGACCCTGGAAAACTGAATTTGGTCTGAGAGAATTAGGCGGGGGAAGAAGCGAATTCCTGAAGAAAACAATCTTTCCGTGGAGCCCTGAAGGCAGGGAAAGTCAACTGAGAAGAATGTTCCCAACTGAGGGATCAGGATGGGCGAAGTCTCAGAGTAGACAGTTTGAAACCCTACAGGCTCTCGTCCACACTCCCTAGCCAGGCCCCCAGGCAGGATTAGGGGCCAGGGCTCTGTGGGCCTAAGTTCCTCCCCCTCCTTCCCAAATGGCCCAGGAAACCGGCTCTGACCCCTCCTCCTCATACCACGGAGAAGTCAGGCGTCTACTGACTCAGGGCTGAACCTGCACCGTATTTGATGTAACACAGGAGCCTGCGAGTCCAGGAGTGAGGGTGAGCCTTGCCTCCCTGGGCCTGCAGGTCAGCCTGGGGGTCAGCGCTCCAGAGGGCAGGACTCTGTATTCCTCCCCACCTCCCTCCTTCCCCTCCCTCCTTCTCCTGACACCTGACCCTGGGGTCAGAGGGCTCCAGGAATCCAGCTGGGCAAAGCCAATTGCTCTTAGGTGACATCCATCCATGGGCCTGTTGGTCCAGGAGGCTGCTGTGCCCTGGGGCTCACCAGTGGGGTCTCCCAGAGCCCCTGCTCTGACACCAGCGCCCAGCACACCCTCCACAGCTCAGAGGAGCAACCATCTCTTATCTGACTTTATTACTTATTTTTGAGTCAGAGACTTACTCTGTCACCCAGGATGGAGGGCAGTGGCACAATCATGGCTACCATAGCCTGGACCTGCTGGACTCAGGTGATCCTTCTGCCTCAGCCTTCCAAGTGGCTGGGACCACAGGCACGGGTTACCATACCCAGCTAAGTTTTTTAATTTATTATAGGGATGAGGTCTTGCCAAGTTGCCCAGCCTGGTCTTGAACTCCCAGGCTCAGGCAATCCTCTGGGCTCTGCCTCCCAAAGTGCTGGAATTCCGGGTGTGAGCCACGGCTCCTGGCCCTGATTTTAAATCCCTCTCCAGCTCCACCATACGGGGAGCTTACACCTCTACCAGGCAGAGACGTTGAGCTGGGTGTCCCTGCCTGTCAGAAGCCATACTCCCCCTGAGCAGGAGCCTGACCCTGCCTCCCCAGGCTGCTTCATTCATTCATTCATTCATTCATTCATTCATTCACTCACACATATTTCTTGCTTGCCAGTTCCAAACGGCTGTGCCATGTTCACCTGCCATGTTCACAGTCGAAAGCAGAGTGGGTCTAGTCCTGGCTGGGGGCTGAAGGGAGACAGACAGGTGTCCCAAGTGCCAAGAGGAAAAGTCCAGTGGGGAAAGAGAAGAAAGACAGATAGAGCTGGCTGTTTAAGACAGGTGGTCAGGGAAAGCCTCCCTGAGATGATCTTTGCCTTATACCTGGAGGGAGAGCGGGAGGTGCCCCATTGGGCACGGAGGAAAGGGGCCTCCATCAGGCCAGGGGCTGCAGCCAGTTGGGCAGAAGGAGACCCTAGCCATGTCCAGGAACAGTTCCTTCCCCCAGCACCCTCTCCCTGCTCCACCCCCAAGGGACTTCCAGTGAAGACTGTCTCTCCTCAACCCAGTATCAAAATGCCACCTGTCTCCTTCCTGGGGAGACAAAGGCCACCCAGGGAGGCCCTAGCAGAGTGAGGAATGGTGAGCTCTGTCACTTTCCCCCCACACGTGGGCCCAGTGGGTGGGAGGCAGAATCGTGCCAGGTACTTGGGCCACAACAGGACTAGATGGTCCAGAAGGTAGGGAGTGTGGCCTCACAGGGTTTGAGCCCTGGGCCTGGCATGTGGCCTTGAGTGAGTGCCTGCCCCCCTCACTCACCCCACCTCTGTGAGTCCAGCCTGGACAAGCCTTCCCATGGTGGGCTGGCCCCTAGGACCCCTGCCCTGCTCTCCATGACTTCATGGCCCAAGAATGCGGGGCCAGTATACCAGCCACCAGTTCTAACTTGAAGGCCAAAGCCATAGAGAATGGCTGTTACTGCCCAGGCATCCCCACTGCTTTCCACCCACTCTGGTGGAGGGAGGGGGATGGGCTGGGTGTGGAACCCAAGGATCCCGGGTGACCGCAGGGCTCAAGTTGGAAGGCTACCCCCACTGCTCGGGCCTGTAGCCTCGTCTCAGCTTGTTGGGGCTAGAGCGGCTTAGAGCCCCCATTTGCCAATCAGAGGGTTCCTCTGAGCCCTCAGGAGGGGTGCCTCCTGCCAGACTGCAAACCCCAAGAAGTGGGGAAGAGAAAGATAGTCACGGTGGGCGCCCCTGAGGAATCTCCCCAAAAGCCCAGGCAGCAGAGTCTAGGGCCCACTCTCTGAAGCCGGCTTTCCGGGGTACCCAGACCCAAAGGGCTCCAGCCCCTGCCATCGGGAGAAGAGGGGCTGGAGAGAAGAGATGCTTGGGAGACAGACCTGCAGAAGCTTGGAGTAGGAGTGGGAGAAAAGGAGGAGATGGCTTGGAGGCTTCCCGGAAGAGGGGGCCTGAAACCAAGGGGGAATCAGGAGTGATAGCAAGTGTCTTAGGAGAGTTGGGAAGGGGAATCCGAGAGACAAGGAGAGAGCAGGGCAGGGGGCAGGACAGGGCTGCCTTGCTGGGACCTGCATGAGCCCAGGTGGGCATGCTCAGATGAGGCTGAGGCCTGACCCAAGGAGCAGCCCCAGCCAGCAGGACTTCCAGCTGGGCCCAGACCGGGGATAGCTTAGCCCTGCTCACTCTAAGTCCAAGAGGCTTCTGGACTCTGAGCCAATGAAGGCCAACTGCCTCCTGGGCCCGGCAGAGCTGCCCTGCCCCTCGGGCTGGCACTGGTCAAAAAAGCATTGGGATGGGGCTTCCTTCCTCCCTGGGTTTTTCGTTCAAGTTGATTAAGCCTGAGGCATGTCTGCACCCACGTGCCTGCCCTCCACGGCCCCTGATGATCAGAATTCTCACAGAGCAAAGTGCGCAGCTTGGATGGGGCTCACGCTGGCTGGAGGGAAGGAGGGGCGGCAGCAGCACCTCCAGGACTTCAGAAACGCATCCCCACAATGCCAGGTCTCCCGGGGCACTTCCAGACTCTCAGCCTCATCCCTGGAGTTTCAGTGACACCATGAAGGCCCCGGGAGCCTCAGTGCTGCCCCCCAAGAACCCCAAAAACTTCAGGAACACATCAGAACTCACAGATGCAGGCAGATCCAGCACAGGCTAGAGCGAGACACTCAAAACGCCACAGGTGACCGCAAGGGTCCCAGAGACCCCGTGGTTTCCCATCGCTCCACAGCCCTCAGCTCTGTGTCCAGGAGTGCCATCCCAAGACCTCAGGAACTCCCCGGAGCCTCAGAATACCCCTCCCTTCAGCACAGCAGCAAGTGCCCAGTGGGTGCTTCATGGAGTGGGAGGTGGCCTGTGGGCCTTCCTGAGTGGCTCCCCACCCTGAGAGTTCCCCGAGAGTCCACCCATGCAGGCCAGGAGGCTCAGGACCGGCTCTCAGCCACCTGCGCACTCACACACACATCAAACGCACTCAGCCCCAGACCAAGCCTGGCTCCAGGCAGTGGCTGGTGGCTGCAGGGGAAGGGTGTGGATGGCTGTCTACCCCTACCTCTCCCCACCCTCCCTTCCCTGCCCTGGACTAGGGCCAGCAGCATCTGACATGAACTTTCTGGGATTCCTACCCCCTCCCCATCACCAGAAACAACATCATAACAGGACAGCTTGGGGGCAGGCTTCTCTGTTGGAGAGTGGACACTGGTGAGGAGGATAAGGGCAGCTGGCTGTTCCAAGGAGCAGCGTGTTCTTCCCCTCCTAGAGGGCCAGGCTAGAACTGACGGGGAAGAGGGAAGGCAGAGTTCAGCTCGGGACAAAGGTGGCCTTCTTATTCTCACAAAGGAGTGAGCCCCTCGGCAAGGGAGGCAATCAAGAAGAGGCTGT